CCCCAAAACCCCAAAACCCCAAAACCCCAAAACCCCAGGTGTTAAAATTCATTGAAACACAAGATCCCAATCAAGAATTATTACTCAATAAAATTACGCCAATTATATTTGAGTAAATTCTCATCTTAGATGTCTTCGTTTGTGGTCTACTTCTAGTGCAAATTAATTCCTACATGGCCGAACCCATGCTTGGCCAAGGTTTCCTCCACTGTTTTACGCTCCATACCGTAATCAGACATCCAAATCTCCTTCAGATTGTTCTTAAAGTCTTGTTCCTTAGAAAGCCCTTCGAACAGGTTTCCAAAATGAGACTCGTTGGTGGCCCAGTCTCCGTAAGCACTTCCTCCTCAATAGCTCAAATATAATCTTTTGAGTGTGCTCCCTTCGAGTCTACCTCCAAAATCAGGAACGGACGAAAGGGAGAGTCTGCAAAAGATAAACCCAAAGAAACTTATGCTTTTATAAGAAGAAAGGAGAGTGATGAGTTGGGGCTGAGAAACTTCAAAGTTTTTAATGAACAATGTATTCCTAACCCTCTGACTAACAGCTGACAATTCTTCCATGTACAGGGACAGAGAGGATGACAGAGGAGAGGAGTGATTAAAATCTAGCACACTCACTTCGAAAGGAAACCGAGTGGCCAGAAAGGTTTTGACCTCCTCGCTGTCTACAGGTATGTCATCAAGAGAGAGTCTAGCCAGCTCCGGCATTCTGTGTTCTAGAGAAGTCAGGAACTCCATGTGCTTGGGGTTTGAAAGTTCAAGTTTTAGCCTTGTTTCCGGACTGAACTGTATGTTTTCGCCAGAAATATTTTTACAGTGGGCTGTGATCTCTTGGAAAAAGTAAGATCCTATAATAATGAGCATGGGCTTGTTAAATTTACAGAAATTTGAAAATTCAAACCATATAATTCTTGATAATGGTTCTACAATAGCAACCAATTAGAAAATGTTTCGTTGAATATTATTCCCATTCAATCAAAAGTCTCGCTAAAAGAGTTAATCTCTTTGGGCTAAATCATAGAACTATTTTTGAAAATAACATTAAAAGTAAACTCAATTTCATCATTATTTAGCATCAAATTCTCTAAGCGTGACACATAGATTCTCCTTTGATAGCTAGTTATAATCTGTAAACTATCAGGTATTGCTAGGAGTTCTTAAACGATCATGAGATTTTAAGTTTGCTGATAACTTCATTTAACATTCAGATGCTAGTGGAAAAATTCATAAACAAAGTATCCATGCACAAAGTGTTCAGCACGAAGTTTTAAACGAGGACGAAGCTGCCCTTAATCAAAGTAAGCATAAAATCCTGTTTGGGTAACTTATGCTTGTTGTTGGCTTTTAAATTCACTAGCAAATATTCAGATGCCGACATCTTACTTTGATCTTGTGAATTAAGATTACTCTTGAGTTCCTCTATCTTTAGATGTAACTTCTTGTTCTCTTCCTCAAGGGTCTCTATGGTGAAGTCTTTTTGTTTAAGCTCTTCTAGAAGCTTATCCTGTTGTTCTGATCCTTGTCCACAAGACCCAGTTAGGATTCTTAAACCCTGGTTACATTGCCTAAATAATTTTAGTTGGAGGTCGGGAGAGAATAAGTATTTGGGCAATTGTTTCTCCAGGACCTAAAACTTTTGCATTTGAACCTTTGAGAACAAGAGAGTTCATCAAATGTATCCTCACGCTTGAAGGATGTACCAATGTAAGCATTGGACCACTAAGGTATATGGAAGTTCTCCTAGTTAATGTTGATACATATATGAATCCTGAGCAATTTATTTAAAATTACTCAGGTTGATGTCAGGTGAATTATAAAAAGAATACTTCTGAAATTAATTGGCAAAGAACTGAGAGCCAAAGCATAGCCTAATTCTAAGAATTTACCTAAGACAGATTAGTTTTAAGTATTTGCTCATATAATTAGAAAGCAAACATTGATGAAAATTTATATCAGGAGAGGAGGAACACTAAGTTATTGGTAGATTTATTGACCCAAACTTAAGAAGACAATGTTATCATATGTTCACACAAGATATGAAGGATAGACTTACCCTTCCATTAAACTCCAAAGAAACTTGCAAGCAAATTCTGAGAAAATCTGTTCACAGTCCATGCTAGCTTGGATATTTCTGGTTTTTGCCATTAGAGCTCCAAATTCATAAAAGGATTCTTGTTGTAAAGCTTGATTCATTGCATCTTTGAGTTCTTGTAGTTTATGATAGAATTCTTCTTGAAACTTTAGTGTTCTCTCATCAGGCTCCTGGTCATTTTCATCTTTTATGAAAATTGCGAAGATTTTCAGCATTTTCTCTATGCCTCTAATCTTCGAACCAACAAGATCTGCAGAGATGAGTCTCTCTCCTTCAGCTAGCTCATATTTTTTGAAGAAATGCTCACCGCAATAGCATTTTTTCGTTTTCTTAAGATGCACAGTGGCTGCTTGAGAGCAATTCTTCACACGACACGAGGGCAACTTTTCCATTTTATGTTTTAAATAAGGTTAATTTAATATTTTAGACCTCTCTTTAATAGGCTCAACCATGTGGGCTTATCTCGGGGTTTTGGGGTTTTGGGGTTTTGGGG